CGACGGCCCAGAAGGCCCAGAAGGCCCCCAAAATCGCCCCCTGACGGCTCAAGAATGCTCCAGAAGCGCCCCGGGACCGCCCAAGAGGCTCCCCACACGGCCCAGCAGGCCCTCAAGACGACCCCCGAGAACTCTCCGAAACATCAACATGTCCCTAGAAGACCCCTAGAGGACTCAAGAAAGGGAAAGAGAGGGTGCCCGAGGGCCCGAGATACCATTACGTACATACCGCCAAGAAGCCCTTCAAAAGGCCCCGAGGGCCCCGAAGGACGCCCCTGGACGTTCCCAAGAGGCACCAAAAGCATCATACCGTCACTAGGCCTCCCCCCTCCTTCTGGGGGTCAGCGCATCAGAGGGAGCGGGCCGAACGGTCATTTGCTGTCCCTGGGCGCGCTGCTGAAGTGAGGTTCTGCGGTGCGGACTGTGCCCGATCTGCCCGCCAGGTTCTGCCGTGTTTTCTGCTCCTAGCCCCCCTCCTGCAAGTCTCGCTCGTTCTCTATCCTCTTTCCTCCCCCGTGTCCCTTCCGTCCGTCCTCTCTTCCTCTGAGTTAGGGGCTGCACGCAATACATGTTGCAGGTAAGGAAGATACATACCCCCAAGGGGGTACGGTCGAAGACGAAAAAGGCGGGTATCGCAGGTTCGGGATATACGTCTTGAGTCGCCTGCGAGCACATAACAGCGAACAGCATTGAACTGATTACTATTGTTGTTGCCGCTGTTGCTGTTGTTGGTGGTGTTGTTGCTGCTGTTGCTGGTGGTGTTGCTGTTGTTGGTCTTGGTGGTGGTGCTGGTGTTGGTGCTGTTGTTGCTACTGCTGTTGTTGGTGCTGGTGTGTTTGTTGTCGTTGGTGGTGTTGGCGGTGGTGATGGTGTTGTTGTTGTTGCTGTTGCTGGTGTTGGTTGGTGCTGTTACTGTGTTTGGTGTTGCTGCTGCTGCTGTTGCTGCTGCTGCTGCTGATGTTGTTGTTGTTGTTGATGTTGTTGGTGTTGGTGTTGGTGTTGTTGTTGTTGTTGGTGTTGTTGTTGTTGTTGTTGTTGTTGTTGGTGTTGTTGTTGTTATTGTTGTTGTTGTTATTGTTGTTGTTGTTGTTGTTGTTGTTGTTGTTGTTGTTGAATTTCCCATTCTAAAGAATAAGCATGGTTGATCCCCCCTGCGCGGTGACCATTGTTTTTTACTCAGAGTGCTATACCCGGGGCTCGCATCCTGCTTCTACAAAGGAAAACGAAAACGTCACGAATCTGGGCCCCTGGCCCCAGGTTTACAACAACAGCGGCTCCCGCCTGACATTTCCTCACAATATATCAAAAAAGCGCTTTCGCGCGAGACTTCCACCCAATGTATACTGCAATCGCTTTCTCGCGTGGGACTTCCTCACATTTTGTTCAGACGCCGCGCCCTCGACACTCAGGAATCACGCTCCTGTTGTGAATGTCCGAATTATTTGTTTAGGGAATCGCGTTGTTGCTCGAGACTTCCTCGCGATTCATGCGCGACGCACGCTTCAACAACCCGCCTGCTCGACCTGGCCGCCTGGGCCCGCCTTCCCGACCCACCAATTAGGGTCGATTGCCTGATCTGCCGGTCTGGTTCTGCCACGTGTTTTCTGTTCCTAAACCCCCTCTTGCTCCATCCTGCTCATTCCCATTTGTCCCTGAATTCCATCCGTCCTCTCTTCCCCTGCCCTAGAGTCTGCACGCAATACACGTTGCATATAAGTACCCTATATCCCCAAATGGGGTACGATCGCAGACGAAGAGGGCGGGTATCGCGGGCTTGGGACATACGTGTTGAATGGCACGCGAGCTGGTAAGAACAAACGTACTCTTAAACTGATTGTTGCTGTTGAGCTCCCGCTACTGAGAACAATTCTTGTTGATCCCCCTATTCAGGGAACATTGTGCCCTTCCCAGGGCTGGCACCTAGATTTTTTGTCAAAGAAAAATGTTAAGTCTCAGAATTGTATCACTGCCCCCCGCTTGCAACAACAACAACAACAACAACGGTTCCTGCCTAATACTTCTTCCAACATGATTGAAGAATCGCGCTCTCGCCCGGGACATCCTCACCATATAAACTGGAATCGCGCACGCTTCAGCAACCGGCTTTCTGTTCCTAGCCCCCCGTGTTACTCCCTGACATGCTCTGTCCTCCAACGTTCCACATGTCCCTTCCTTCCATCCGTCCTCTGTTCCCCTGCCCTCGCGGCTGCACGACATACAAATTGCATGCAAAAGAAATGGATCCCGTATAGGGGTACGTTCAGTGACGAAAAGGGCGGGTATCGCGGGCTTGGAATATACGTGCTGAGTGGCACACGAACTTGTAAGAGCGAACAGCCTGAAACTGACTGTTGTTGTTGTGGTTGTTGTTGTTGATATTGTTGTTGTTGAGCTCCCATTTCTGAAGAAAAAAACAATCATTGTTGATCCCATGTCGCCGGTGCATACTGTGTTTTCTCAATCAAAGTGTGCCCCTCGACGCTCGCACCCTGTTTTTTGACGGGGGACGTCTTGGTGCTCAAACTGGACCCCTGGCCCCCGGATTACAACAACAACGGCTCCCGCCTGAGACGCCCTCCAAATTTACTCAGGACTCCCGCTCCTGAGACTTCCTCACACTTTACTCAGGATCGGTGCTCCCGCCTGTGACTTCCTCGCATTTTAGTCAGGACCCCCGCTCCCATCTGAGATTTCCTCACAATTTACCCAGGAACGGCGATCCCGCTTGAGACTTCCTCGCAATTGAATCGAGACTTCCTCGCAATTGAATCAAGACCCCCGCTCCCGCCAGAGAACCCTTCAATTTTTTTTAGGAATTGAGCTATCGCCTGTGACTTCCATGCAATTTATTCAGAAATCGCGGCTCAGGAAACACGCTTCGCCAAGGACGCCGCTACACTTCACTTAGTAATCGCGCTCTCGCCATACTCGGGCATCCCGCTTGAATGTCCCACCCGCCCGACCCGCCCATCAGGGGATCGCCCGCCCGTCGTGGGCTCCCGCCCCTGACTTCCTTCAGGAGCGGCACTTTCGCCTAGGACTTCCTCGAAGGTTTTCGCTCTTACCTTCCTGCTCCTCCTCCCTCCCCCTCCTCCCTCCTCCCTCCTCTTCTCTTCTCTCTCCCTCCTCTCTTCCCTCATCCGTATGCCTCTCTGCCCTATCCCTTCTCCCTCCTCTCCCTCCTCTCCCTCCTCCCTTCTCCCTCCCCTCTCCTGCCTCCTCCCTCACTCTTTCTTTCTCTCTCTTTCCAGTCTTTGTTTTATCTCTCTCTCTCTCTCTCTTTCTACCTCTCTCATATGTTTTTTGTTCTCTCTCTATCTCTCTGCCTCTAATAAACCGCCCCCCTCGTCGCTCCTTCTCTCCTGGCGTTTTCCCTCTTCCTTCGTCCCTCCCCCTCCCTTCCTCCCACTCTCCCTCGTTCTCCCCTCCTCTTTTTGCAGAGCCCACACCAATTCCAATGGCGGGCACATGTAGGCTCACGAAATATTATCCGCCCGTTCAGGTTTGCCCGCCTGTCTAAGCCCGCCGGCCCCCGCCAAGGGAAATCATCCCCCCAAAAAGGGTGTGATCGAAATTAAAAAGGGCGGGTATCGAGGGTGTGGGGAACTCGTTCTGAATGACACGCGGGCAAGTAAGATCGAACAGTCTTATAGTGATTGTTGATGTGATTGGTGTTGTTGTTGTTGTTGTTGTTGTTAGGTTAGGTTAGGTTAGGTTAGGTTGGGTTAAGTTAGTTTGTGTTGAGCTCTCATTTCTGGAGAATAGTGATTGTTGGTGCCCTTTTGTCGGTAGCCGATGCATGGATTAATTCTCATGTTGTTCCTGGGGTTTGCATCCTGGTTTTTATTATTTTAAAAACAAAGGAAAGCGAGGTGTCACCGAACTGTGCCCCTGGCCCTCAGTTTACAGCAACAGCGGCTCCCGCCGAATACTTCCTCACAATGTATTCCCAAGTCGCGGTTTCGCGCTCTCGCGTGGGATTTCCTCACGATTTATTCAGACGCGGCGCCCTCGACACTCAGGAATCACGCTCTCGCCGTGGGTTCCCTCACGATTTGTTTGGGAATCGCGCTATCGCTCGAGACTTCCTCGCGATTCATGCACGACGCACGCTTCAGCAACCTGCCTGCTCGACCTGGCCGCCTGGGCCCGCCTTTCCGACCCACCCATTAGGGTCTATCGCCGGATCTGCGTGTCTGGCTCTGCTACGTGCTTTGTGTTCCTAGCCCCCTCTGCTGCTACTTTCTTTCGTGCTCTATCCTCCCTCCCTCCCCCATGTCCTTCCCTTCCAGCCGTCCACTCCTGCCCTGCCTTAGGGGCTGCACAATACACACTTTGCAGGTAAGGAGGATATATACACCCAAAAAGGTACGAACGAAGACGAAGAAGGCGGGTATCGCGGGTTTGGGGTATACGTGTTGGTTGGCACGCACGCGTATAAGAGCGAACAAAATTAACATGATTGTTGGTGTTTTTGTTCTTGATGTTGTCGTTGGTGTTGATGTTTCTTGTTTGTTGCTTGTTGTTTGTGGTCGTCGTCCCCCTGCGACCAGGCCGCGACCCAGCCCGCAACAAACCCGCGACCCGCCCGCGACCCACCCGCGACCCACCCTGCGACCCACCCGCGACCCACCCGCGACCCATTCCGTGACCCGCCCGCGACCCACCTGCGACCAATCCGCAACCCGCCCGCGATCCACCCGCGACCCGGCCCGCCATCCACCCGCGACCCAACCGCGACCCACTCGCGACCCACCCACGTTGCTATAGCGAAAAAGTCGGCACCTGCGGCGGGCTCGTTGCAGAAATGGTAAACAATAGGCACCCGCGGCGGGATTCTTCAGAGCCTCGCAGACTGCCGACGTCCCAGCCGCCCCCTCGCTCTTATCCGCAACTGCGGGGTGCTGCGTATTGAACGTAATTTTTGGAATCGAGATGGGGACGCTGCCCTGGCAATGACCCAGCCCCCTGTTGGGTTATTCGGGCAACCCGTTCCGCGCCGTCACGCACGCGTGGCCGCTGAGAGGCAGCATGGCCTGGGCCGCGGGGCGCGGTCACAACGCCCTCCGCCCCCCCCGCCTCCTGCACCCGGTGCATACCTACTCCTCCACCTGCTTCTGCTCATCTCCATGCTTCCACATCGTGCCGATCCCTAAACTCATTTCCCGCTGCGCCCCCCTCCCGTTCCTCCCCTTCATCCCCCCCACCCCACCACATCTCGCCCTCCCCTCCCCCCCTGCAGCCTCCCTCCTCGCTTCTCCCTCCTTTCCTTTCTCTCCTCCCCTCTGTCTTCGCACCCACTTCCTCCGCTTTCTCCTCCAGGTACTGCTGCTGCCGCTGTTCCTCCTCCTGCCAAACCCAAATCTGACTCCCCCCTCCCATCCTCCTTCCCCCACGTGCTCTTTCCTCCCTCCCCCCCTTCCCTCTTGCACATCCTCGCTGCTGCATCTTCTGCTGCTGTTGCTGATGCTGCTTGGTCAACGACGAAACGATGCAAAGTCCTGACGAAGCCGAGAGCCCTCCAACTTGCACCGCGAGCGTTGCTCCACCCAGCCGGGTGTGGTGCAGAGGCTGGTTAAGCGCGCAGAAGGGCAGTACTCGCATACCTGATGATGCTGTTGGTGCTGCTGCTCCTCCTCGTCCTCCTCCTCGTCCTCCTCCTCCTCCTCCTCCTCCCCCTCCTCCTCTTCATCCTACCCCTCCTCCCTTCCTCCTTCCCTGCTCCCTATTTTACTTTCTCCTCGTCCTCTCCCCATCCTCGGCATACTTGGACATTGCCGTACCCACCCTGAACTCGGTACCTGGCTCCTGCGCCTTCATGCCCGCCGGAGCTGAGCGTACTCTGCAGCGCCCGCCGCCGCTGGATGGAGCCTCGATCTCGGCAGCTGCGCGTGACGCTGCTGAGCTGGCTGCCGTTGGCGCGCCTCGATAGCAGGCTCCCTCTTGCGGCTGGGTGCTCGACTGGACTCCCTGCCTCAGCTGTCGCTCCGCCCTAGGGCATCGGAGGCATGTTCCGCCGCGCAGGGGCAACCCACGGAGAGATACGATCGCCGCACCCGCATGGCCGGGCGGAGTCGGACGTCGTGTCTGCACTGCCTCCAGGACTTCGCCGCGACTGTTGTGCACCGTGATGGCCAGCCATGAGCGTCTGTGCCGCTGTAAGCCGACCCAGAACTGTCATGTTGCGGCCATAAAGAACGCCAGATGAGTGAGGCTCGTTCCAGGCCCCCAAAGGCGCCCAGGCGTTCGAAGAGCGATGGGGGGGGAGCGACCATGGAAGGGCCCGAGGAACAGCGAGCTAAGACGAAGCTAGGACGAGGACAACGTCGGGTAAAGATGAGTCGAGAATCCCTGAGATCCCGCGGATCTGGAGGAGGCTTCGGGCGCCGCGGCCTCCTCGGAGCGTCCTGGAACGCTCGGAGAGCGTCCCGGAACGCTCTGGCAAGGACCCATCCTCGCCCGAGCCCCGTCCGGCGAGCTCCTCCCGAACCCAAAGTGGTCCAACAGCTCGGCGCCTCGACTGCGCGCCGTGCCGAGGCGACCGCCCCGCCCCCGCGGCCGCGCCCGCGGCAGGCCGCTCCGGGGCTCGTGGGCCGCGGCGGGGCGCCGTCCCCACGCCGCCGCTGGCGCGGGCCACGGCGGGGCGGGCGCGCGCCGAGGCCCCGGCCGTGGCGGCCCGCGGGCGAATGCTCGAGCCAGGTGGGCAGGAGCCAGGGCGGCTGCGGTCCTCCTCCTCCTCCTCCTCCTCCTCCTCCTCCTCCTCCTCCTCATGCCTCTCCCACCTTTTCCTCCTCCCCCCTCCTCGTCCACATCTGCCTCCTCGTCCTCCTCCGCCCTCCCTGCTCCCCCTTCTTCCTGCGCCACCTCCTTCCTGCAGCCCCTCCTCCTGCATCCCCCCCCTCGCCCTCCCCCCTCCCCTCCACTGTCCCCCTCCTCATCCCCCTCTGCGTGGCCCTCCTCATCCCCGTCCCCCTCCTGATACCCCCTCCGCGTCCCTTGCCCTCGGCCCGCCCGCGAATCGCCCGCAAGCGCGTGCGCGCGCCCAGGGCGCGCCTGGACATCCAAGTAGGCTGCCCCGTTGGCACGGGTTACCGTGGGCATGGAGGCGGGCTCCCCAGGCGCAGGGGGGGAGCAGGGAGGGGAGGGCGCGGAGGAGAAGGGTCGGAGGGCAGAGCGCGAAAGAGAGCGAGCGGAAGCGATTCGAGGGCGCGGAGGAGGATGAGGATGAGGATGAGGATGAGGATGAGGATGAGGATGAGGATGAGGGATGATGATGGATGATGATGATGATGATGATGATGATGATGATGATGATGATGATGATGATGATGATGATGATGATGATGATGATGATGATGATGATGATGATGATGATGATGATGATGATGATGATGATGACGAGGAGGAGGAGGAGGAGGAGGAGGAGGGGAAGGAAGGAGGAGGAGGAGGAGGGGGGGAGGAGGGGGAGGGTGCGAAGGAGACGGACTCCACCTTCTCCTCCCTCGCTCCCTCCTCCTCCTCCTCCTCCTCCTCCTCCTCCTCCTCGCCCTGCTCCTCAACCTCCCTCCTCCTGCTCCTCCTTCTCCTCCTCCTCCTGTTCTTCCTCGTGTTTCCTCCTCCCTTGCCTCCCTCAATCCCTGGTGCTCCTCAGCCTCAGCCCCCATCCTTCTCCCTCCTCCTCCTCCTCCTCCTCCTCCTCCTCCTCCTCGTCATCATCATCATCCCGCCTCTTCCTGGCCCTCCTCATCGTCCTCATGGCTCCTGCAAGGCTGCAAGCAGAAATCAACGAGGTCTCCTTCGCTCCCCTCATCCCTCCCCTCCCTCCCCCCAGGGCGGGTGGTGGGGCAAGCCGTGGTGGGGGGTGGGGAGAAGGAGGAAAGCGAGAGAGAGAGAGAGAAAGAGAGAAAGAGAAAGAGAGAGAGAGTGAGAGACAGAGGCAAGCAGGGGGAGAAGAGGGAGATGAGCAAGCGTGGGGGGGGGGCAGGGGGAGGGAGAGAGAGAGAGAGAGAGAGAGAGACAGAGAGAGAGAGGGAGAGAGGCCCAGGAGGGGGGGAGAGGGAGAGAGGCAAGCAGGCGGCGGGGGTGGGCAGGGGGAGCGGAGGGAGCGGGCGCGAGGGAACGGAGGCACAGAGAAGCAGCGCTGGCGGGAGGCGGCGGGACGGCAGGAGGCGGAGAGCGGGCGGCAGCGCCCCGGGCAGCGCCCCGGACAGCGCGCGCTCGAGCCGAGAGTCCCTGCGTGCGCAGGGGGGGGGGGGGGGCGCAGGGGCGGCGGAGAGAGGGGGTCCGTAGAGGAAGAAAATGAGGAGGAAGGGAAGAGATGAGGAGGGGCTCTTCTCCTCCTCTTGCTCCCCTCCTCCTCCTCTTCCTCCTCCTCCTCCTCCTCCTCCTCCTCTCCTTCGCCTCCTCCTCCTCCTCCTCCTCCTCCTCCTCCTCCTCCTCCTCTTCCTTCGTCTCCTGCTCCTCCTTCGTCTGCTCCTTCTCCTCCTCCTCCTCCTTCATCTCCTCCTCCTCCTCCTCCTCCTCCTCCTCCTCCTCCTCCTCCCCTTCCTCCCCGAGGAGGGATAGCAGGAGAAGGATGAGGAGGATGAGGAGGAGGAGGAGGAGGAGGAGGAGGAGGAGGACGATGTGGATAACGAAGACCGTAAATTCGCTGGCCCCCGCTTGCCGGGGGTGAGAAGGCGTGCGAGATGATCGGCTGTCCCGCTACCCCTTGCCCCCTCCCCGAGGGCCCAACATGCCAGTTGATAGGGAACTCTACAGCGCATCTACCCGTTTCTTCGAGCCTTCTAATTCACTCTCGGACGTCTCCAAGATGCTCAAGATGCCCTGCACATGGCCGCAAGAATGCTTCTACACGGCCAGGGAGCCCCAGAACGGCTCCAAGTGCTCACCGAGCCCCCCATAGAACTCTCCGAAAGGCCCAACTCACCCCCAAACCTCCCCCTGCTTGCCCCACCCTCCTTGGGGGGAGGGAGGAGGGGAGTCAAGTCGACCTCGTGGATTTCTGTCTGCAGCCTCGCAGGGGCCAGGAGGACGATGAGGAGGGTCAGGGTCAGGAAGAGGTGGAGGAGGAGGAGGAGGAGGAGGAGGAGGAGCAGGAGGAGGAAGTGGCCCAACTCACCCCTAAACCTCCTCCCTTCCCTCCCACTCCCCTGCCCAGCCCCCTCCGACCGACGCGGCCGGCAGCGCCGCGCGCTGATCAGGAGCGTCGCAGCACCGGGTGTACACGCGGCTTGTCGTGCTGACGGCACGTCGCTGGCTGCCGAGAGGCCTCGGCCGCCAGCCGGCGGCGGCGGGCCGCAGCGGGATCGAGGTGGGACGTCTGAGGCCACCTCTACGACAAGACCACGCCGAAGGACCTCCAGAGAAGAGCGGCGAGGCCGAGGGGCAGTTAGCTCGAAGAGGAGGTGAAACGAGGGCCACCCCGTCGAGCCACCAGCGAGGGCGTCGTCGAGGAGGCGTTCGCGTCAACAAGATGGAGGGCACCTTCGATCGCCTGCAGCAGATGCGGGGAGAGAAAGCTGAACTGACGATGGAGCTCAAGGGCGTCAAGGTGGGCGAATGCAGCCTGGTTGGGTCCAAGGCCTCGCAACTATTCGACGTGGACTCCGGATAGCCGGAGAGCGTGATGGGACGTCGCTTCCAAGTTCACGATTTCCACGTGACACTTCAAGGAGCAGTCACACTGTCAGTAAATCTGCAGGACTCCTTCGAGGCGCTGCTCGGCCAAACGCTGGACACCCACAAGCTCAAGATCGGCCTTGGCACGGTCGTGAAGGACCTCAGCCTCAAGGGCCTCAAGGAGCAGGGCAGTCAGCCGATGAGTCAGCAGGGCTCCCGCGACGGACCCGCCGACGGGCAAATGCTGGATACCGAGCAGCCCCTGATCGCTCTTGACGGCATGAACGACGGATTGCGACGCCTCACCGTAAGGAGGAGGAGGAGGAGGAGGAGGAGGAGTAGGAGGAGGAGGAGGAGGAGGAGGAGGCGGGAGGAGGAGGAGGAGGAGGAGGAGGAGGAGGAGGAGGAGGAGGAGGAGGAGACGTACGGCAAGTTAGGGGGAACACTGGTCCACTTTCTCCTCCCGTTACGACGATCCCGAGCAAGGCATCGACGATCAAGCCGGACCCAGGCCAGACAAACATCCCTCAAGAACACGAGACCCTCCGTCGACCAACACAAACAGGACAGCCAAGGGTACCCTCCCCAGGATGCACAAGAGGGTCTTACCGGTACCTCGGCCCGACTGTGTACCAAGCAAGTTCGGGGAACACCGGTCCAGGGTCTCCTCCCGCTGCGACGGTCCCGAGCAGGATCTCCGCGAGGCCGAGCAGGAGGCCCAGAAAGCAAAGCTCCTCCTCCCGCCGCAGCGGCACAGACGCCGAGCGGGAGGTCCGAAAGAACAGCAGGCACTGCAGTATGTGCGGGCCGCAGAGGGCAGCGTGGAGCTGCACGCACGTGGACCACACGAGCAGGGTCCACGGCGGGGCGGCACGGCGCGCAGGGATCGAGCGAGGCATCTGCACATACTCATGGGCACGTTGGGGCGGCGGCCCCAGTGAGAAGGCCCTGCCGATGCAGGAGGCACGGGGGTCTAGAAGGGGACGCACAAGGACATGCCAGTACGATATGTCCTCATTGGCAGCGTGCCAGCGACCCGAACATATGGCATAACGATCGTGCAGCACATCGTTTCCCAGTCGGTATGGCCAGAAAGCGCCCGCCACGGGGTCTGGAGGCCCCCCGTTCTCGCGCCTCGTCGTCGTCGTCCTCCCCCTCCTGTCGTATCTCTTCTCAGCTGTCCCAGGCCCAGGCTGGCC